GGCTTGGTTTCTTTTGGCAAGGTGTATTTAGAAGAGGAATGGAAGAAAGGATCACTTCTTTTCTCACCACCTCAGTTATTTTTCAACACTTGTAATGTTAGATTTGAATGCGCGGTGAATCGATGAGAAAATGATGGGACTTGTCCTCATAGACTCCTGTCCGTTGCACATTTTGTACCCTAAATCTATGACGTATGAATATCCGCATATCTCAAAGTATTCCTTAGATTTGCAGATAATCAGCCACCAGTTTGTTCGTCAGAATCTGACTTATCAATTACAGTGAAACGCTGCACCAAAAAAGCGACAATTAGAACTGGAATTAGAATTTGCTGCACACAAAAAGCTTCCAGAGTGGTAACAAGAAACCAGAGGAGGCGATTAGTTTTTCACCTCCTCCAGGTTGATTCAGGATCGAAATCGCCAATTACATTCCACTATGCTAAAATTAATTATCTTTATCGCAACTTTCCTTGCAACGGTGCTCGGATTTCATACATCTGCATGTCTGGTGCATCCCAAAACCATAGTTAACGTAATCTTATCCTATAAGTCATGAATAGCGAAATAGATTCCAAAGATACACATTTACAGAGCTATATTTCTCTATCGAATACGGAAAGCTGTACCAGTCGCATTTTTCAAGGTACAGAACACGTCAGAATTCGTACTTGTGATGGCGCCTGACTCCAGACTTACTACGTAGTTCTCTCTGAGCCCAACAGTCTTTAAAGTCTTGCTGTTGAATTCAAGCATTCCAGCTGAAAGCGTGGGTCCAAGATTGGACCTGGGATTTGGTGTCCCAGAGCTTTTTCATGCCTTTCAGCACTTCAGGGAAACTCCAAGGAGGGATTCACGGCTACTCCAAACAGTGCAAAAATACTCATTAAAGGAGATAATGCTGTATGTGTCGCAGATTTTAGAAAAATCCTACGCATTTCCGTCTTGCGACTACTTTTGCTTATCTGTTACATTAAGGACTTATCTTAATAAATCCAGTATGTATACAGCATTCGCTGAATGTAGGCATATCGGAGAATCTGAATCCATTGCTACTAAGCGTTCAAGCCTAATAATATAAGCCATAATACATTCCAGTCACGCAATATTATCGTTCATATTCCTACTTCATAAAAAAATAATTGAGGTTATATTGATATATTCAATATATATTTTTGCCACCTACTGTCGCTCAAACAGATGCTTTTTTAAAGCCCAAATTATAGAATGTTGGAGAGAGTCCAAGGACAGAGGGGAGCGAAGGGACTGAATCATCAATAATCGCGCTACATCGGGAAGAAATAGAAAAGTAGCAGCTGGCGTACGCATAACGACTGTGATGTTGATTTAAGGAAAAATTCAACTTTTTGTGGCGCGTCTACTCAGAGCATAGCTTTTGGTTGGGTCGCTTTTCCAAATACATTATTTTACCGCCAGCGAAAAGGGAAACGTAAGAGGCTGAAACTGGGTTGCAAGGAGTTCCCTGAGTCTATATTTCAAAAGAAAAAAAAAATTCGTTAAAACCCATCAGGGCACTTTTTTTTAAGTCCTATTTTCCTGAATTTTTTTGATCTAACGAAGCAGAGACAGAAAATTTAAAATTCCCTCAGAAGTACCTATATGATGGCTGAGTATAGGAAAAATCCTACTCATGAAATATGGCCCCTTAGCGTAGATTATAGGAGGGAAGTATTTCAAAATCTATTCTACACCCTTACAAAAAGGGACATATGAAAAGTTCTCAAATTAGCTAGAAATCATAAAAGTAATGATTTGATTAAAATCAAGGTTTTCGTCCCCATATGTCACGTATTTCAAAGGGAACATACTTTAAATACGTGTTTCGGTAAAGCGTTTCTTATTTACTTAATTAGTGATACCAAGGTAATGGACCGCCGAAGGCGCGACTATAGCGAGTTTTCTGGATTTTCCTAGATAAAGTATGACGTCACTAAGTTGGCAAGCTCGTTCTCGTAGCATATCAAATGCAGGGTGTCCCCTGGCTACAATTCCTTGAAGAAATGCACATTTCATGCGGCAAAATGGTGAACCGCCCAAACGTCGTTATGGTGAAGCCACCGATGTTTGGACAGTTAAGCCGGGATAAGATTGGAATTGGCACGTCACGCCTTAATGGTACAACCCAGATAGTTCTCATTTTTTGCGTCCGGCAGCATATGAGTAGGTATGAGTGTGATGAAGATGATGACCATCGAAGCTTTATGGCATACAATAATTGATATCACATAGGTGATAGCAATTATTGCAATTATTGATAGCAACTTATTGAACAAGAGAAAACATGAAGTCCGAACACAACGTAATTTGGACCCACCAGAAGATGACGGAAATCGGCTCATGGCATGCGATTTCCCCTGTAGCATTGCTCTACGTCCTCTAGTTTCCTGCGGAATAAGAACTGATCGTTAACAATACCAACTGGGAAGACTTGCTTGAGTAAGGTCGTCTCCGTACGTTTTCTTGGATTTGTCGCGTCCTCGACATTCCATTCATTTATGGCCGATATTTGGAAATCGTGCTCACCGATCGCGGTCACCGCAAGTCTTCCGCTTGGCAACACGGTCGTCTTGGGTTAAGAACTTGGGAAGAACTCTCCCTGATGTCGATGTCGTTAATGCGTCTTTATCAACGACTAGCGACCTGCGGCCGTTACACTGGCCGTCTAATAAACTGAAAGTATATAAAACTTATTATGACGTAGCCTATTACTTAGAATGGCATAGCCTTGTAGGCCTTGCTTGTTAGGCCGCAGATGAGAGACAACCATTCGCCATCTCTTTCGACCCTTTTCAATTTTCATGGCGTAGCCTGCGGCCTTTGAATTCGAATAGGCCTGGCGTGTTAGGCCGTGGATGACCTGGCCTATTGTCTGGAATGGCATAGTATCGTAGGCCTCATGCATAAGGGGTCAAAATGAGGCTTCATACGCACGCAGCTTCATTACATTTAAATGTACTGGATAAACGTTAGAGTGCGCGAACTTCGGTACTGTTCCAACTTGGGAGGCTTTAATCTTGATGACATTCTTCCGTAAATATGTATCGGCCGTGGAGGACACAAACCAGGGCCATCGCGGTTTTTTTTACCACCTCTCGAAGTTCTTTCTCGGCAGATTTTTAAAAATCATGATTCAAGATAGTGATATCAAGAGGCGATTTCACCCATTTCGATATCACATGCCGAGGTTGAGCGTTCCTTAATTTAGGATAGGCCTAACCCTCTTCAAGCTAAATATTTTTGTAATTTTTTTTTTACTATCCTGGTTACTTACTGTCTATTACCTAACGTCAACATTGCCCCCCACCTTTTTGCCTGGATTTGTCGCGTCCTCGACATTCCATTCATTTATGGCCGATATTTGGAAATCGTGCTCACCGATCGCGGTCACCGCAAGTCTTCCGCTTGGCAACACGGTCGTCTTGGGTTAAGAACTTGGGAAGAACTCTCCCTGATGTCGATGTCGTTAATGCGTCTTTATCAACGACTAGCGACCTGCGGCCGTTACACTGGCCGTCTAATAAACTGAAAGTATATAAAACTTATTATGACGTAGCCTATTACTTAGAATGGCATAGCCTTGTAGGCCTTGCTTGTTAGGCCGCAGATGAGAGACAACCATTCACCATCTCTTTCGACCCTTTTCAATTTTCATGGCGTAGCCTGCGGCCTTTGAATTCGAATAGGCCTGGCGTGTTAGGCCGTGGATGACCTGGCCTATTGTCTGGAATGGCATAGTATCGTAGGCCTCATGCATTAGGGATCAAAATGAGGCTTCATACGCACGCAGCTTCATTACATTTAAATGTACTGGATAAACGTTAGAGTGCGCGAACTTCGGTACTGTTCCAACTTGGGAGACTTTAATCTTGATGACATTCTTCCGTAAATATGTATCGGCCGTGGAGGACACAAACCAGGGCCATCGCGGTTTTTTTTACCACCTCTCGAAGTTCTTTCTCGGCAGATTTTTAAAAATCATGATTCAAGATAGTGATATCAAGAGGCGATTTCACCCATTTCGATATCACATGCCGAGGTTGAGCGTTCCTTAATTTAGGATAGGCCTAACCCTCTTCAAGCTAAATATTTTTGTAATTTTTTTTTTACTATCCTGGTTACTTACTGTCTATTACCTAACGTCAACATTGCCCCCCACCTTTTTGCCTGTCCATGAAAACATCCAGTTTCTTCTTAAAGATAGTCACAGCGCGGGGCAGCCACTACTTCGTCATCTAACGCATTCCACGCGTTCACCACTCTGCAAGTAAAGAATTCCTGTCTCGACCTGAGCCGCACCTGCGGTTTGCGCAACTTAAGTTGGTTACCTCTTGTTCTCTTGCTGCCATCAAACTGGAAAAACCTACTCGACATTATTTATTCCTAATTACCTTGAAAGCCTGGATGAGATCGCCCCTCCTTAACCTTCGCTCGAGCGAGAACAGTCCCAGCACTTCTAAACGCTTCTCGTATGATAGTCCCCTGACCTCCTTAATGATTCTTGTGGCCTTCCGCTGTACTCCCTCGAGCGCCAACAAATCGCCCTCATTTGTAGGCCTCCAAAACTGCATGCAATATTCCAACTGGGGACTTATCAGTGCCGCACACAACGGAAGAATAACGCGCGATGTCCTACATGCAACCGAACGACGAATTGTCAAAGTCACGTGTGTTGTCAAGAGAGCCGCGAAACTTTAGTATTGCAGCGCATTCGCAACACGATCGAGGCAATAACGCTTAGAAACATTCACCTCGTTTTTTAAAAAATAAATTGTCCGTCAACTGCACCTTTGCTTTAAAAAGGATAATCTATTAACGCATGGATTGGTACACATACATGGTACGCACTGAACACTATCCGAATGATGACGCTCGGCAAGTAAATCCCCCCCCCCCCACCCCATCGATAACGCATCTTTGAGAGGCTATCGCCTTTCTGCCTTCTTTTCTTTTTCTCTCTCACGCGAAATCATTCCTGGTCTTCATCCTCCCCTGACGACCTTCTGGCACCCGGCCAGGGCATCACTTCCTGTAATGAATCAACTTTGACGGTCATAAAAGGGACTTCATCCGGAAATCATCTCAGAGAATCGGCTTTTCCTTCGAATTCTCGGATGAAACTCCGTTTCTCGAAGTTTGAAAAAGAAACGGAAAGAGGGAGCCATCGTCTTTCCATACTCTGGGAAAAAGCAACGCCAGATATGAGGAACCTTCCGATGCAAGAAAATGTTAATCATCACTTAAGTGATGATTAACGTTTCCTTGCTCGATTCTGAGTTTACCGGGAGACAAGCACAAAGTAACATGTGCAACATGGTCGTTGGGGACTGGAGATCGTCTCTCTGCGAGAAAGGCGATCCTGATCATAAAACCGTAGACCAACTTTTCGACTCCTCGTCATGCTTCCGCGACATGTATGGGAAGGCGAGGACTTCTCATCACTCTGATCTGAATGTGCCTTCGAAGCGAGAAGCGGGGATTCATTATTATTTGCGTTCTGGAAATATAAGATAGTACCAAATCGCATCCCCCTAGGAGAACGACGACACATAATTGAAGCGACACCCTCCAAACTAGCTAAATATAAAAATGTCTACAGTCGTAAGGTATTAGTCGAAATGGTTGATGAACCACATCTCCCACAGCCATATGAGGAACCCGTTCGGAGTCCATGGCTTTTCAAAATACTCTCCATAGATTGAAAAAGGGATATAAAGAGTTGACGGAGGCTTCCCCTGCTTTCGCACACATTTCGATCGCCGCTCGCTGCTTTTGAACTTTCTTCACATCCTACATTCAGCCATTAACTGCGAACAAATTAACGCGCGGATTGTCATCCACGGGCATCAATCTGAAAAGTTCGGACATGCGCATGCCACGAGGAACCATCACCAATCGCCCCTTAGCTTCTAATCCGTTCGACTCCCACCTTATCTCGCATTCGTGGCTAGATGGGGAAAGAGACAAGGGGACAGGGGGAGGGAGAGCGGAGGCACATGAAGGCCGAACGACCTCGGGCGATGGGTGGGCGCTGGCCGACGCTCGAACATTACCTGGCCTTCATTCCCATTCTCGCGTTCGGATCGTGGTGCAGCTGCGCATTCATACCATACCGAGTGATCTTGATATGACCCCTATATGGAAAAATATCGTGATACTGACACGTTCCCTTCACCCCCCTTTGGGTATAGTTCGTTACGTCACCACCCCCCTACTCCTTCACCACCTCGGTCCGATATGTCACCACCCTTGTAATACTTGAGATCACTCTTCCCTTAATGTATTTCATCAAGTTAAAGGATCCAGGCCTTAACTCGATGCCGTACGCGTTCCTCTCTTGTTCCTACGGGAGTCGCCATATGCCGAGACGTCAGCACCCCCCTACACCCTCCCATCCTTCCTTCGTGTATTTCATCATTTCATAGATCTGGATCTATGTGGTTCTCGATGCGATGCCGTTCGCGTTCCATTTCCAGTTCTTCGGGGAGTGGCCATATGCCGTGTCGGGAACAGTGTTGCCAGATGCATATCTTCTCTCTGCCCAGATGAGTGAGTCTCTTTGTGTCGTTTACATCCCATGTGACTGCATCTCACTATATTTGTCAAATGGGGCATGTCTTCTTCGATGCGTCTCTGCGTATTTCCAGATTATTGAGTGTCATGTAATGAATGTCGCGTGATAGTCAGAAGTCAGTGATATAATAAAAATCATGAGGAAAGTAGAAATCCAAAGAAATCAAAAGAAAAGGAAATAATGATCGATGTCAACGGGCATGAGAACAAAAAGAATAACATGAAGATGCTATTTTTGTGGGTAGACGGACTTGATGGCGTCAAGAAAGTCAAGGAATGGTCTTGGAATGTCATGAACGCCACCAGGCTTCGATGAGATGCATTTGCAGCATCTTCGACGTTGTTCCGCGTCCGCGAGTTTGTATGCGGGCCTTGACTGAAGCCCAGTGACTTTCGATCATTTGGGTGTTGCAGCCAGTCACGGGATCCACAAAGTGCTGTTGGTGATTCACGGTCTCGTGGATGTATCCGTGCTGGTTCAAGGTCGCATATGCTGCCCATTCATCCGACCAGATCTCCGTCCCCGGAGCAATGAGTTGATGGGCAGCAGAGTCGCACGGTCCCGCCTCTGAACGTGAAGTAGACGCAGTTCCGTGTGCCAGGCCATTCCAAAGATCCATGGTCTGTCTACGACGTCCCCATAGTTTTCCCGTGAAGAGGAAACGGCGTTGCCTTGCATAAGGCGGCTTTTGTTGTTTTTCCGCCGGACCCTGTAAAAATGCGTTTCCTGATACTCTCATGTGTGGACAACATATCAGAGATTTGAAGAGAGGCACGCGAAGCTGACCGAAAGTAGCTTTCATCAATCTGGATCACTTCTCCTGGGCCACCCATTGGCCGCGCACTCGCGAATAGCGTCCGGAGGATTTCTCTGGCGAAGTGCCGCCAGTCAACGAAGGTCTCATTTCGAAGGCTACTCAGTTCTCCTGCTAACATGGGCTTGCTCTTAGTGATGGTGATGTAGGCCCACGTCCAGGCAAGCGCCAAGATGACTCTAATGGGGAGCTTCGAGCAGGGCCGACCCAGGCGATCCTGAAAAGCAAAAAACCATCCACCTGACATCTGTTGTGGACCCTGCACACCAATTGCTTGCCTTCCCCTCCTCCCACTCCATGCCCCCCTTGCACTTCTTGCAGCGGAGGATGTTTTCCCCCGCATCCCTTAGGGTTCCACTGCAGCCTGCTTTAAGGCAAGGAGGCGGTTGTTCCTGATCAGCTGCGCAAGGCAGCAGTCCGTTCCCCCTACACCAGGCGATGGTTGTCTCCTCAGACTGGATGATGCAGGACAACTCGAAGAGGTTCATGTCTCGTGCTGCCATTCCTTGCGAATTTCCTTCAAAGACAAGTACAAAAAAAGCCAGTAACCAAAAACCAAAGCTAGTCAATAACCAGGAGGAAACAAACGACAACTTACTTAAGTGGACAGGTGGAAGCTTGATGTGGTTCGTGGGACGATTCCCAATCGTATGGGATTCATGCGCCCCCTTATATAGGCAGACTTAATCTAAGCAGTAAGTGGGGGGGGGGGGGGGGAAGGGTAAGGTGTCCAGGCGATGCCCAAAAGCCAAGTTTAATTCTTTCTGACAGACATGTCAACTTGTCATGTCATATCCAAATCCTTTGTGTCTCTCCATGATAATCTGTATCTCCAATATCTATCGCAGTAAAGACAGTAATACCATGACATGTCAACTTGTCATGGTATTACTGTCTTTACTGGTCGGTCCCTTCGTACTCAGGTGCTTTGAAAGAAATCAGTCTTATGACCATATTGTATTCCTAAAAGGAAGAGCTATCGGAAGAAAATGAGAATCCATTAGCATGCTTGATTCATAAAACCTTCGGAATATCTAGAGAAAAAATTTAAAACAGACGACCCCCGTAGAAGGACTTACGCTTCATCCATCACGGACCTCACAATAAGGCACCTCACGCACACGTATCGATTCACTCGATCGGTTTTCCTTCCCACCTCTTAAGTACCTTCTCAAACTTTCGTGATAGCCAAAATTAGGGGGACACGGGAAGCAGACTCACGACGACACAGAGAGACACAGTAGCAACACGGTAACGATGCGTATTTGCATCAAATGCGCAGTGTTTCGGAGCGGGAGCCCGACGTCATCCCCTCCCGTCCAGCCGACGCAACATTCTACCTGGGAAAACCCCCATTCTCGTAACGCCTCAGGCAATGTCTCCGATTTCGCTCGTTTTCCTTCCCTGCCTGCGGCTTGCTTTTCTCTTCCTCCCCTTCGACCTTGTCGCCTGGGGGAAGGACACCCGCGGGAAGTCGAGGGCATACAGTCCGAAGTGGATCCTTCAGGTGAATTGCGGCCAAAAATCCAGATTCCGTCGAATCCGAAGGTGTTAAATTTTATCCGTTCCAAGGAAAGTCACAGCGAATGACTTGGGCCCTGTCATTTCTCGCCATTCCCCCAGTCTCGTCATATAACACCGCCGAACTTTGTTCACGAAGTTGCAAAATCGCCCACAATGAGAGCGAATACAAGCCAAAACAGGATAGTTTCTTCTTGGCTGCCACGGATATGCATGATGCAAATGAAATTCATCGGCTAAAAACCGAAATCGCCGATTGGAAAATTTTGGGAAAATGTTCTTTCGTATTGGTTTGCGCTGAATACAGCAGGAAAGAAATGTCTCAACGCATTTCAGTCAGACTCTTCCGTTCTCGCTTTACCCCTTTTGCGCGCAAATTCTATTTCAAGCATGCAAAAATGTTAGTGTGCTTTTGTGAAATAAATTGGAAGCAAGAAGACACCAATATTTATTCAATTTTTAGAAAGTAAATTATCATTTATTTTATTACATTAAGATAATGAATAAATAACAGTTCTCTCTGCATCGAAGTCCCTTCTTTCTTGAAATACGTTGTTCTACAAATATTTCCTATTTTCTATTTTGTATATTGCAAAATCCCACGAGAAACAGCAGGAGGAAGAGTTTCTGATAATGGCTCACTCTCAGAAACTTGAAACACCTCAGCGATCTCTCTCCCTCTCCCTCTCTCTGTCTTTCATTTTCCCCCGATGCGGACCGAGGCACGGCCAGCGCAGAATAATAAAAAATGAGACAAATTTCCTTCCTGTGGTGAAGCCGACATTGCCGTCGTTTTAGAAGTATTCATTCGGGCGCTGATTCTCGAATACGCGTAACATTGAAATCCTGCTGAATCAGGCCAGCCTCACTCGAGCATGGCATCATCGGCATTTGTTGCATAACAAATTCCAAATAAAGAAGCTTGTGATTTTGACCCCTTCCACTCCGTTCCAAAGGGGTCGAACCCATTCTAAAGTACTCGTAAAACGAAAGACGAAGAAAAAATACTAGGAAGTATAAGGAACGTTATGAAACCCTTGTTTATGCAAATTCAGATTTTTTCGGTCATTCTACGTGCTGGTCAAGCATTAAAAAAATTCAATTGGAGGCGTTAAAAAAAAAAATCGTTTCCCAGACGAAACCTGTTCGGCGAATGATTCCTTCCTGGATTTGGTATGGTTTCGCAGATGGAAAACAAACATCTTAGGCCCCATTTTTATAAATAAAAGCTGAGCAATAGGAAGTCTTTATTTTAAGTCATTGTCAAAAACAGCGTTTGAAATTCAAGTGAAGCATATCACCCAACTAGCCATAGGTCGGAATCTAATGCTTCTCGTGTGCGATTCCTCCGAGGAAGCGACCCGTCTCGCTCGTCCGAAATCCACGGTTTTACATATTTCTGGAGCTGCACGTTTGACTCTGAACCGCAGGAATGTTTCCTCTGGAACTACCACGTGATGCGAAGGGAACTTGCGAATGCGATTCGCCACTTTCTCGTTCGCGTTCTCCCAGCGTGCGGTCGTCGGTGCCGGAACCTTCCTTGCGACTTGCAATGTTGGGGTTTCCCTGCAAATTCCGATCTCGAACGTTCCACACGATCGAAGACCAATTGACAGTTTTCGATGATCGAACTGGCTGTCTTCCGATCACTATCTTTGCGCGTGAAAATTGAGCAGAGTGATGTTTCACTCGAGTGAATTTAGAGGAGCGGTTCGAACAACTAAACAGTATTTTCAGTGCAGTTGCAGTTCGAAAAGCACCAGCAACATCTGCATTGCTTCTCGGGACTTCCAAAGACCGAGAAAGCGATTCGCCGAAGCGCCGCTCGCCGGCGACGCGCAAGCAGACCCCTCCCTCGCTCGAACGCTCTCGCAATCTCTCATGGAGTCCGACGTCAAGTCCCTGAGATCTTTCCCATCTCGGCAGATTCCATTGACCTTCCACAGGAATTCCGGATTGCAAATCAGCCAGGCCACGTCGCAGTCGCACCGTATGGGATTCCCTTGAAAAAGAGGACCAAAGATCGCCTCAGCGAAGCCCGAAACGACCTCGTTGGCTCACGACACAATCGCAATCGAATTTTTTTCTGTTCGACTCACATCGCAGATTCAGGGACCCACTCCCCAGCGAGAGATTTTCCAGCATCGGACGGAACACATCCTCCTTCAATAATTCAATCTTATTTCTTTCCAGAGAAATCTTCGTGTCTGGCATGATACCTGGAATGGATACGAAATGACGTTTGTTCGTCGCTGATAGAAAATGCTCTGGATTATAATTTTTTGCTGCCGTTTTCTTCCGACTCAGATATTTCTGGACCCGAAGCAGTACCAGCTCATTGGTAATTATAAAGTTACTTATTAGATATGCTTAAAATATTCTCCATGAAAACTACGAATCAAGGAAAACAGAACTGTCATAAAAGGGAAACGTGCTTCAGCAATCGTTATAGGACGAAGCGAAGAAACAAATAGGGTTACTTGGGGAATATGACCATCGGGTTAATATTGCTATTGGGGTAATATGGCCCCTGTGATTCCGGAGTTTAGTGGCCGAGTGGTTCTGGCGGCTCATGTAGAAACCCTTGACGCGATGGGGCTCCTATTCCGCCCTCCAGCCAATCGACCCTGGCCGCCCCGATGCGGCCGCCGGCGGGGCAGAAAGGTCACGCGTGAGGCCTTCTGGGCCTGATCCATTCCCGCTAGCGGATGCTTCTTCTTGAAATCCTCCTTCTCTGATGAAAGGATTACTTATTACGGCAGAAAAATAAAGTATTGAATAAGACGGAATGGCCTTAGGATCTCTTACTTGAACCTAACAAAGACAAGATACTCATCCAATTCTCGCTTCCCTCCTGCTCTCTTTTTCTATAGGCCCCGAGTGCATGTCATAACAAGATACTTGCCGTTTTTCGAGAATAACATTTAAAAGTGTTTTAGGTCGAAGACAGACCATTGTGGTGTCTAGCTTTTTCATGGTCGCATTTACGTTAACGAATGGAATAAAGTTTGCTAGACAATTTTTCATCCTGATTTTTAAAAACTAATATTACTGTTGCCTCCCTACCTTTGCCATCACTAAACGACGCGAGGTCGAACTACCAAGGTATCGAGATCGCTCGTGAAAGGTCAGGCGTGCCTGTTATTGCCTGGGATGACCGCGCTTTCTTCTCTTTTGAGAGGAGGGGCCTCATTGGCTGGAAGGCAGGATAGGGACCTCATCGTGGCAATTATTTATACATAAGCGTTCTGGCATCTGAGGTGAAACCCGGGAGGCGAGGGATCGAGTCCGGGTGGCGGCGGCCTCTTTCTCCGCCGACAGGCGACCCACCTGCTCTCATGGGGAGTGTCTGCTTTGCGTGGGATAACACACACACCACTCTATGTGCCACGTCTAGGAGATACGGGTGTAGTACACCTTAAAAATCATTCGTGCCAGTCATGAGCTTAGGCGATTCGTGAGCTGCCCCTTTGGTCTCCTATGGATTTATTTTTGCTCTCGCACCTGGGCGCTAACGGGAGAACCTGCCCCACTCACTAGGAATGACAATTCGTTTCAAGCGTGTTTTCCTCTTCACTTATAAATCCGCTTAGCAGATCTTGATTCGTCCTTACGTCTGGCAATTTGCAGTTGGGAATTTTGCATCTCAGGATTATCATCTTCAGAAACAATTCCTACTTCCACATAAACATGGTTTCTTTCCGTTCTAGCTAGATTTAGTCTTCCGCTGCCTCTCTTCCTCTCAGATGAACCGGTTTCTCGCGGGTTGTAAATCATCCTCGTAACGATAGGCCTACATTGATCTTATTATCAACCAGAAAATACTTGCAAATTCTGCCTCACCAAATCCTTTCTCAAAGACCAGCATTTTCATAAGCGGACGGAGGAGCTCTGACTAAGATTGACGCCGCTCCGCGCCTACAAACTACTCCTGCACTGATACGTTTCCTCGCGCAAAAACAAAATTCGAGTGGCCTTCGCATTTGTGCTCCTGAGCTAAAACGGTCGGAGAACAATTAATAAAAGTTTTAGGACGATTAAAAATATGTAGAAATCGTTGAAAATAAATTTCGCACTATTATCTGTTATTTCACAAGCTCCAAAGAATCTTACAGAACGGCCCTTTTTTTGTCTCTCCCGGTATTTCACCAGAACTTTATAAACATTGGCTTGGTTGTTTTTTTTTTTTTAGAAGTGGACGTATTACTCCCAATGTTTTGGCCATATTGCCCATCTTGGGACCAACTTGGAAGGGTTCTAAATGCGAAATATCTCTGCGGTCTGTTTTTTTTTCATGTGCCTTGCTGGGATTGAGTTAATGAATTAAATAACAATTTTGAAATATTTGCAAATTAAATTCGACCTTCATGGGGCCGTTAAGACCAGATTACACTTTTTAAGGCCATATTCCCGCAAATTACCTGACACAAAACGGCACGGAAATCGCTGCTCGATAGAAGCTTGAAACGCGACGCAGAAAATAGCAAGCTTCGCAGGGTTAGGAATGGAGTTCCGTCCTTGGGCCCACGCACAACCGAGACTTAGAGAAATTAGTACCATGATTCCCATGCAGATTGGGAGCGGACGCAAACGAGGGACCACACCTGTGATGGCTCCCGGTTCGAGCCTCGCGACATCCCCCTGGAGCGAGATCGCCTTGAGGGACCGGCTGAGGAACGCCAGCGCGCCGGTCGCAAGGGTGGTGTCCAGGTTGCACGGCGAGCACTCGAATAACTCCAGTTTCTCCCAACTCGTAATGACCGCCAGGGGAAATCTCGACAGCTTATTCCCATCTGCATGGAACACCGAGAAAATTAGTCTTTAGATTGAAACGAGTTGGAGCTCCTTAAATTTTTGCCTGAACGCGGTCCAAATTTCGATCATTCTGCTTCCGCCATTTTCTATTGCGGTGAACGGCAACGCGGAAATCTCATTGGAGTAGGAGAGTGATATCAGAGCCAGCCGAGGTTATGCTACGTGTCTCTCAAGGGGCAGGTGGGAGACATGTCACAAGGGTAAAACCATCTAAGTTCGGACACCATAAAAAAATTGTTATAAAACAAATCCTTTGCGAAGCCACCCTCAGAAACAGTTCCTCCAGCCCGCGAAGAACTGTTTCTGCGGGAGAGTTCACCAATGCTTGGTTTTTTAACGATGCACGTGATACAGCACGTGATGAAGCATCCAAACTTGGATGGCTTCACCTTACCAAACGGGACGAGGTCACTCGAATTGGAGGTTCTCGCGCATCCTTTTACATCATTTGATAACTTCAACTCGCGACGAAACCTCTTTCTTCAATATCGAATAAGCATTCGATTAAGCATCTGGAAAGTTTGGAATGGAGTGGTTTCCTGCATTTTTTCCTTCCTTTACATTCCTTACATTAATTTTATCAAATGGTAATTATCGGTATGGCTACCCGATGAATGGTTTCCTCGAAATTCATTCAGGACCTGACTCGATTTCATCGCTCAAGTAAATAACTTGGAACTCTTTTTCCTTAAGAAATCATTCGTTCCTACTCGATTGACTTAGCGTGCAGAAAATAATAACGGGAAAAACGCAGGAGAGATTGAATCAGGAATCACCGCGCATCACTCACTGAATCGAAGTTCCCTCATGTTGGGAGTCGCCCATCCGTCCCTCCCCACCCTCGAGATGTTACAATTCGAGAGATCCATGACCTCGAGGCTGGGGCTTCGAAGGGCGGGGACCGCGGCCAAGCGCGTGTACGCGAGGTCCAGCTCCCTCAGCCGCGGCAGCCGGGGAAGGACGTCGAAGGGGAATGTCTCCAGGTGCCAGCAGAATTGCATTTCCAGGACTTCCAGCCGGTCCTTCGAAGAGAGGATGGCCGACGGGTGGATTCTCTTCACGACGGAGCGCGACACGGAGATCGCTCGGAAGGAAACGGTCCCGAAGGCTCCCTCGGGAACCTCATTCACCCTGTGGTTTCCCCTCAAATTGAATAACCTGCAGAGGAAAAAATCGCGGGAAGTAGCGAGCCACGCTGAGGTCGTACTCGAAAGGAATATGTTGCATATTAGAAAATAGAAACTACATCTAATTTATAGCTATGGGTATGTCGTGTGGAGGGCCTCAAAATGGACAAGATTAATGTTAACTTTACAAAGATAGAAATGGAAAAGATTAAATATGCGAACGATGAATCCGAGGTCCGGCATCGCTCCAAAGACGGCAACGAAATCGAAAGGCGTCGTACAAAGCGCGAAGCCTCCTTAGCACGGCACCAACGCGCCTGCATGCATGGGAGGCATTTTTCAAGGAAAGAGAGAGCTTTCGTGAGGAATGCTCAAGGGACGTACATGAGTCGAGTGGTGGGCCAGGAGGCCTTCTCGAAGGCGGACCGAATCTCCTCGCTGCTGTTGGCCTCCGAGCAACGCACTTCCACTCCCTGCCACTCCGGTCCGTGCCAATCCGCGACGAAATGGCACGTACAGGGCCATACGTCTCTCTCGGAAGGGCAGTCCTCGTACCCGACCGCCCAGATGGAAAGCGACGCGATCGAGACGCAGAGGTAGGCGAAGCGTCCGGTCATCGTGGCCGCTTCGGGAAGTTCTCGGACGAGAAAGAGGCGGTACGAGGGTTCGCCTGGGGGATTTCCGTTTTCCCTCTCCTCACAGATGATAAATCCGCACCTAATAATTAAAAGAGAAGTTCTGTATGGACACCAGAGCGACAAATTATCCTTATATAGTGGTAACACCAAAGTCCGTAATATTTTCAGTCTAAGTATGGTGTTACATCTTGAGAGTAAAAGAAAGCCAAGATAGGTATTGCTATCGGACAAAAATGGAAATCCGGAATGAAATCTGCAAAACATTACCATTGAAAGCTCCCAGACTTTTTCTTCGACGATTAGTTCCTCTGGGAGCCAGCCCAAATTTCTGGGTGAGATTCTCTGTTGTGACCGTGGAGATAATCTGTACGCTCTCGGGTGTGTATCTCATTTCTGGTAATTTTGATGCCATACTTAGTCCAAGTCGCTTCTGTACGATGGCGGAAGACTCAGAATATTCGGCGAAGAAAGCTGAATTTCCCTTTAGAAAAAGATTCCGCAAGGTCGAAAAAGCGTTCATGTGTCAAATGTCCCGGCAACTTCGTGCAATGCGCTTCGGCGTCGATCAACGATCACCAGGAAGAGTCTATCCCCCCATTTGAATGCACCATTGCCGCAACGGTGAAGCAGTGGTTTCTCCGTTCATCGACCTTTCGACACGACGCTAAGCACAATTAACGCGCCCATTTCCCACCGAGTTGTCCGCTGCAACACAGTCGAGAAGGAAAGAATAAAGAGAAACAGTTCCTGAGCGCTGAAACGGCATAAGAGTTCCCGTTTTAATGGTGTACCTGCTTAACCATAAAATCACACAAGGGCTACGCCCACGAATGAATCCGATAAAATACAGCCCTCCAACAAATACCAAGCAGTAAGATCCCCCCGCACGTCCCAAGTATTTCCCCGAGCCCCAGGACGACACCCTCCTACGGTCTTCCACTCCGACATCCTCTGTCTCGTGCAGCTCTGCCAGGATCGAGTGACGCGCGTCGACGAAGGACGACCGTGCATCGTCCCACTTGGCGCCAAGAACCTTCCTCCCTCCTTTCCGAGCGAGGGTCAAACGGCGATATATCGTCGTTAAGAGGGTTAAGTAGGAGTTGGGCCAGACAAGGGGGAATTCCGACCCTCCTTAGTCCCTCCCTTTCGATGTCATTCCCTCCGTGTTCGCCGGTCTCCATTCCTCTCGTTTCTGGGATCTTTTCCCTCGTGCGATCCTTGGCGTCTCCCTGTCGTTGGGCGTGGCTGAAAATGCATCGGACGCCGTCTGGATGCCGTTTCGGTCTATTTAATCCTTTCTCTCGTAAGAGCAAGTAAAGAGAGGCCCGAATTCACGAGAACGTAAAATAATTTTTTGTGGAACCGAGCCAGAAGAGGAGGAACGCGGGTTCCGCTAGGGCGGGCTCTGGCCAATCGAAGCGGGTGCGCATCGGGCTCGGGTCGGCATGTCTCGCGCCGCCCCGTCTCGACGGTCCATAACACACAGGAACGAGTCGGCCGTCACGCTGAGAACCACTCGGAACGTTATCGATGGAACGATGCTCATTTTGAAAGGTGAAACTCACGGCGATGGGAATGTCCATGCGCCGGTGGTCCCCGCATGGTCACTCTCGAGTCGGCGATAGAAAGTAACGACGAAAGCGAGGGGGAGACAGAAGCGTATCGCTTCTCACAGTATCTGCCCTTGGATCCCCTTCCTCCACCGTGCACGAACTAAAGACCAGATGGGAAGGACTGCACGATGCGCCTGGCGGTGGAGCCGGGAGCGCGCAGTCGCCTGGATGCTTGTGAACGCATGCGAAGCGAGACCCATGGGGAAGGAGCGGCGAAGGAGGCTCACTCGCCCTCGACTGTGTCCCGACCGGCCACGTGTTCCCCGAGCGCACAGATCCGTCTTGGATTCCATCGCAGACGTTTGTCGAACGTGGATCGTGCATGCAAACACGTCCATATCGAAAAAGGCTCATCTCGGCTTAACGGCGTCGCAGCTCAAGCAGGCGGATGAGCATCTTCCAGCGTTAGCAATCCTCTGCAACCGACTCGAGTTCGGCTGACGATACATCGAGCCTCTCGTGATAAAGATTCGCGAATCAGTCCGTCCACCAGGCTAACCGACTGACCTGCGGGTTATTTTCAGACCGGAATCCTCTCGGAAGACTCTCAGGATGCATCCAAATGAACGAACCTAGGCAGCTCGCATCCCCAAATCGACTCCTTCGGTCGTTCGCTCGGCTCGCTCGGTTCGCGACCGTAGGTGAGGAGTCGAAACGCTCTTTAAAACCGAAAGTTTCTCCTAATCTGAAATTTCCGATTCGACGACCACAGTTCCTGCAAAACTGCGGAAGCCCTGCAGATGCCGCAGCCGATCTCGTTTCCGTCTCGCCCGTAACTCAAGAGTCCGACCCCGCGACACTTTAAATTCCACATCTGCTTATCGGAACTCTTAAATTCCACATCTGCTTATCGTAACAATCGGAACTCTCAGTCTCAGTCCGCACGCACCGGCCGGGTAACTATTTCTCTTTACCGAACTCTTTCTTCGTTTCGTTTAGGCAACGCTTTCGAAAGAAATCTTCGCATAGCAAGGAGTACTTACTCAAAGTCATGGCTTCTGAATTTTTCTTTAAAATCTCGCAGCTGAGCGTGACGGAAACCAAATACTTTTTCCTAGCTACCCGCTTGAATTCTTAGCCCATCGTAAACACCGCACGTTGACATTTTGCTTTCGTCCGGCAGGCGCATTAAAAAATTCAGAGGTTGGGGGAGAAAATGTCGCTGGAACAATTTTCGGTACCGATTATTGGAACGGCGTGAAGTCGTGTTTGGGAAAGCGTATGTGTACGTGCACGTAAAATATTGCAGGAAAAATATGAAACCTATCATTTTTACTTCGAAAAAAAAAAAGAAAAGTATCAGACCCAAAAGAATGTTGGTCCCCGCTGCCATGCGGTGGACCCACGGTGGATCCGCGATGGACCCGCGAGGTCCTCCTAGTTAGATATTTTCAAACGTAAAATTTACAGTTTTCAGTCGAGTCATTATATTTCCATCCGGTCGGAAGACCCACGAGAATCGAAGGCGTTTCCAGGTGCCAGCTGGCCGGATGGGTCTCATCAGGCACCCTGGTGAGTCGAGATGAAGCAGCGGCTTCAGAGAGATCAATGAGGCGTTCCTGGCGGTTTATTTTCATTTTTTTTTTCTTTTTTCTTCATCTTTTGCGAAAAGATGAAGAGCGACAGCTAGGTGAGGCCGCAAGGGTTTCCGAGACGACGTCTATGTCCTGTGTTTTGTTATCTATTCGTTATTATTTATTTCATTTCAATTTCATGTTTTTTAAACATCAACCCGAGCAACAGAGTGGAAGGGAAAAGCGACGAAAGATGCAAGAAGGGCAGAGAGAGCGAGCGAAAGGCGAAGAGCGCGGTATCGCGGAGAGGACAGGTCGGGACTGGTTTTCCTGGATCCCCGCGCGGCAACAAAGAAAGCCCAGCTGCACGCGGGATCTACGAACGCGACGAAGCCCCGCCGTCCGTCTCGTCACGGAGCCCTGCATTTCGCCGGGGCATTCCAAATGCGTCACATGCAAGAGATTGGCGGGGGGGGGGGGGGGGGGGGGGGAGGGGAGGGGGGGGGGGGGGGGGGGGGGGGGGAATGGAGGTGGTTGAGGAAAGCAGGAAGAAATGGTTTTTACACTTCATTAGACCTTGCCTTGGGCCTGTTCTGGTTAACAGGTTCAAAACGAATTTGTTCTCTTAGAGCCTTTATTTCCACAGATTTTTCTTAGGCATGAGGAAAAAACTGTTTAGAAATGACTATTCAAGATAAACTTGGCAAACAAATGTTAGATCTCTCTGAGTGATTATCATTATCCTTTCCTACTCCAATCGATTGCGTCAAAGCAACACATTGACGCATGAACTCTGCCCATTCTTGCACATTCGGAAAATAACACAGCATTTTTCAGTCGGTATAGTTAAAGAGGAAAGTTAGGTGACGGCGCCCCACTCCAACGCTGAATCCCTCAGATCGGTTTAAAATTAATGAATACGATTCTGATATCAAAATTAGAACTGCCATTAAAAAAGATCGGGTTTGTACAATAATATCTTATACTGGACGAGGGTAATCTCCATGGAAGCTCATTATGAAATCAAATTAGCTCGGATCGAAATCGATTCATATATACCGGGTGGCACAAAAAAAAACGCGTCGTGTTTGACGCCTTATAAAATCTGTTGTGAATGATCTAGGTTAGTGATATCTTCACATTACGTTGGAAATACCACAAAATTTATTTAATGAAAGTTTCATGTACTTAAGTTGTCATTCTCTCCCTTGAAGTTATGAATACCGCTTTTTATGCCAGTTCTCATCGTAGTATTCTGCGTGGTATCGATTCTGATGCTACTATGAGCGACAGTAGTACTATTCTACAATGTGTTGAATACTACGATGAGAACTGGCATAAAAAGCGGTATTCATAACCTCAAGGTAGAGAAATGATTGGAGCGGTCCTCAAACTCCATCCTCCTCTTGCGCGGAAAGGTCCATTTTGTGACTCCACTTTGAGCGACTGTCGATATTTTTTCAGACAACTTAGGTAAATGAAACTTTTAGAAAACAAATTTTGTGGTGTTTCCTACGTAATATGAAAATATCACGAACCTAGATAATCCAAAACGGATTTTATAAGGCGTCAAACACGACGCGTTTTTTGTGCCACCCGGTATAATCCTCATCTCTCATCATGCGTTCCTCGTCTAGGTACTCACATGGAAAGGTTTATTTTTTTGTTTTAGTGCTCTAAATTGTCTGGGGTTGACCGAATTGCAGGGTGATGGCACCTAAAAAATACCTTGAAAGTTGGAGATGTGAGGTGAACTTTTTTTTTAGCCTGGTTCTCCGGACCAATCCACATCGAGGGGGGAAAAGCACGATGGAAAAAAGTTCGTGCTCTCCAGACATGCGAATGAGAAGTCATTAGCAAGGGCATATGGATTCCGCCGAGGCCAGTGTTGTGTGAGCAGAGGTATTTGAGAAGCCCTTGATGGAAATCGTGACTCGGGGGGTCATCAGTCATGTGCATGGTGCTGACCCGATTTTTATGGGCGATGCGATGGTCGATGCGGATGGAGGACTAGCGTGTCCATATATTTCACCTTCTGTGCCCACAATCGCGTAAATCGAATGCTCTTTTTTTCCACAAAATACGTCGAGTTCAGTCCCGGGGAAAGTTCGACGTAGAAAAGGATCGGCATGGAATATTTGCACGTAGCAGATAAAAATACGTGCACTGTAAAAACAAAATACAACCTGAAATTAGCTATCTTTACGCTGGGAGTCCTGCTTCCGTGGCATCCTTGGGCATTTCTTTCTTTCCTTGATATATTACAGACAGAACGACCGGTCTTTCCTATTCAAGGATAGGGCAAATCGGTCCTTCCGTCTGCAATATACCCTTAAAAAAAAAAAAAAAAAAACCTTGCGCTCCCTCGAGCATCTCCAGTGTATGTTGTCCTTTTTCCCTTCGTTGCTGGGAGTCCTGGGCCGTGATAACGGCGAATTCCAGATCATTTGGAAGCACTCTTCGCGCTTTTTCATTCAATATACAATACACTCCGACGCCTTGACGAGGCGTTCGAGGAAAGATGGATGAGTCTGCCCGTCCGCTGCTTCCAGACCGCTCCGTTTTTTTTGGTATTTTTTTTTTTTGGGGGGGGGGGGGGGGGGGGTGCATCGGGGGGGACTGTATGTCCATACGTGTAGTATGAGGGGTATGGGAGGGGGGGGGGGGGTTGGTACATCGGAAGGCAATGAGATTTCTAGAGTGAAGTTTTTAAATTTCAGATCAAATTTTAAAAAAAATGCGTGCACCATAGTTTTAACCGGCAGAACTATTTCTTGATTGCTGCAATGCGCACGCTTGTAACTCTCGATTCCTTGAAACTTCTCGTTTGGATTCGATGTTGCAAAGAAGGAGCACCTTTGAAAGGAAAAACGGCACTATCAAGGCGTCTTCAGGTTTACTTTACCTTTCACGTGCAAGAAGAGTTACGCGTGGGAATTAGCACCATCTTTAGACGGTGCAAACTCCCACGTTAAAAATTCCTATTCCTTCCAAGTGCATCTCTGAATAAAAGTGGATCTGAAGGCCCGAGACCCTCATGCGGAGGTTCTAGAGTACAAAGCGCTGGCTCGCGCATTGTATTCTAGAGAATATAATGGCTCGATACCATTCATTGCCCGAGCCTCAAGACAATAACGGCTCGATGTCATTTACTCCTACTGCAAATTGACTGTGGCTCATTTTCTCGCTTCTATGGGTTCAAGAGATCGGCTAGGAATTTTGGTTCCGCCATACTTTCGTTTATCAACCGTGGACGAATTCCGAAAGTGACAGCGTTTTCGCTGAGTTTTGCGCAAAGGTGTGATTGAATTCGCGTTCCAAAGATGCTGCTATTTGCTTCCGGTGTTGAGTGTATCTATTGCATGGACGCATTAAACATTTACGGACGTAGTAAGCGATTCCATCCGGACTTTTTTCCCTCCGCACACGAGGGTGCTGCGGAATCCTCGTGATGTG